CCCTTAAGTTATGTCAAGTTGGGGTTCCTATGCATGTTAAACATAAAGTAAAGAATGTGCGCTTATTGTTTATGTGTCACACTTAGTTCTTGTGTTGTAAAAGACATACTCACTTGCCTAATAGTATTAGAGGTCTCTTAATAGAACTATGGGTGCTGTCAAACACGAAGTTCCTAAGTTGCCAAAGGAACAATGGAAGAAACTTTGGTGGAACAAGACAGGTAAGTTCCCAGACCGTTTGTAACTCACTTGTTTAGATTTCAGAGGGAACTAACCTATCTTTTAGTCAACTTTCAAGCATCCACACCATATATCTTCGATCGCAACATTATTCTACAACTCTAAGTTGTGTGTCTGTGTTGCATATACTCTAATTGTCTTATATTTAGAAAATTGAAGATTCTTATTCACCCAATTCAATTTCCTCTTTCCGTTCACACACTTTTACTTCTTATTCTTAATTCCCATGTGCTCTAAGTTTGTTGATCATCTTTTTATGATTTTTAATGATTTGATGAAACATAAAAAATGGTGATTATATGTTGAGGAGGAAGTTGAAGATAAAGGAAGAAGAATGGTAAGGGACTCAGGGGGAATAAGGTAGGAACCAAGAAATCAAAATGGTTCAGATCTGGTTGTGGAACTCAAGTGTATGAGTGAGTAGTATCTTCATTGATTTAAAATGTGTTATTCCAGGAAAGCATGCAAAATTTGTATAATGACACCCTTTAAAAAAAAAAAATAAAAAAAAAAAGAGAAAGAAAAGGAAAAAGGGTGATCAAATATTTAATTTCCTGGGTATCTATATATGAAGAATGTTGACTATGTTGATGTCGTGTACTCGTATACTTGGTGAGCTAGTGAAGGAACAATAATAAACGACGAAGGAACTTGATTATGATGAAACTGAAATCTATTTAAGTTCCAGTATGGAGAATGTTCCTCAAAGAAGTTGGTGGTTAAGGTAAGGGAACTTGGTTATCAATTGGCAAGATGAATATGTGTTGTGTTCAATAGGAGATTCAAGAGTTTGAGATAAAGTACAATGTGGCGGTTCTCATCTCAAAAGGTTTAAACGAAGAGCACAAATTCCACTTCACGTTCCCTCTACTTATTTTGTTCCATATGCTTCTTTATATATCCTTTAAGCTTGCGCTTTAATTGGTCTATTCATGCAATCCATTTCTAACTTTTTAGCTCTGATCTTTACTTGAATTTTAACTTCTTATTTGTCAAGTTCAATTAAGGGTTTTGAAGTTGGGCCTTTGGATTGTGAGTTGGAAGTTAGTGTGGAAATGGTATCCGTGTTTGAAAAGTGAGTACCTTGAGGCTTTTAGGAACAACAAGTGTTTAACTAGTATATACTTACTTATTATATGGTGGTAGGTGTGACATATGACTTTAAGTGCATATAATTTACGAAAAACAAACGTGTGGAACAATACCCTTTTTGATAATGACAAAAGGGGGAAGAATATGTATGATGCTTATGGTATGCAGTAATTAAGTCTAAAGTTATTACATCATGATTGTTGAAAGTATTTATATATTGATAAATGATGTGTATTGCTAAGTTCCTAACTATTAAGTTCTTGTGTATGTTCTTAACTTGTTTAAATGTTATTTCCTTGAAAAACTAAGGGGGAATAAATGTACAACGATTATCCTTTAATATGTGATGAGCATCAATAGTTTGTCATCATCAAAAAGGGGGAAATTGTTGAGCAATTAGGTTTTGATGATTATAAACTAATGATGATTATCTATCTAACGTGTATGTTAAGTTGTGCATAGAAAAAGCAAATTATGCTTGGAACAGGATACAAGGAACCTGAGTAATGACAGGTATATATGTAAGGAACTTGAGCAATATAGGATAAGCAATAGAGGAACAAGAACAACGATAAGTGTTATGGTTGATAAGCATGATGATGGCTAAGGGACCATGAAGGTAACTATGTAAACATGTGTTTACATATGTTAGCTTCATAAGGTAAGTATCCTATACATATATAGGTTATGTATGTGTAGGAGTCTTTTAATTTAGTTTAGTTTTCTTTATTGTTTTTATAAATAAAAAACTAACCTTCTGTTTTACTTTGTTATTCTCAGAAGTTTGCTCAGTTCGTCATCATCAAAAAGGGACAACTTGTTGATCCTTATGAGGTTTTGATGATGATGTTAAGAATTGAGCAAACTTCCATTTAATAAGGATTTTCTAGTGTTGTGATGTTTGCAGGTTCAGTAAGCGTTGAGGGCTGAAGTAGGAATTGAAACAGAGGAACTTTAGAGGATCCATGAGGATACAAGTAAATTTAGAAGAAGAGTTCCAGAAATGGAACTTCCAGAAGTTTCTTAACAGGAACTTCAAAACGGGTTGTAACGACCTGGTTTCGGTGTAATGCTGGGGAAAACCCTAAGATCCAGAATATATCAAGACTACAGGATTCCAGAACAAGAGTTTCAGAGAAGCAACATGAAGACAGAGAAATAGAAGTATATTGCTCTAGGATTCATGTAAGTATGTTGGACATAAAAGTCGGTCTGGAACAAGTCTATATAGAACCAAGGTGAATTCCAAACAGTCAATGAAATTAGAGTAACTGACTTGTCAGGAACTCAGAGACTGTCAGAGTTCAGGAACCTAATAGGAACTTAAGTATGAACGTCGTTAAAAGTCGGTTTTAATGATATATATATTTACCTTATACGTGCATATCTTTTAGGGATTTGGTTTTACTGAATAAAGATATTTATCTTCTAATAAATCCCTTTTGGAAAAAGATAAGATTGTTTAAAAAGCATTTTAAACAAAAAGATAAGTTTTGAATAAAATCTGATTTTATGCTAAGTTTATCTTATTATTATTGACAGTTTTTATTCTTAACAAAAAGATATATTTTCGGAAAACTGATTTTTAGAAAATATCTTTTAAACTTATCTTTTCAGAAAATCTATCTTTTTCAAGATGAAATGAATAATTCGAGTGTACTATAAATATGCTCATATGCATTCATTCAAAGTTGAGGCTGACGAAGTGTAGTGGTCGTGCTTAATGGTTTTATCCTTCACCACGAAGCTAAGTCAGTCCTCCTGGTCAAAGTTCCTATCAGGTTTTTGGTTACAGTACGTCTAGTGAGTTCCAGACAGATCTTGAGTGTTCAACATATTAGTTTTATCTCTTTATTCATAGATATGTATTTAGGGATATTCGATGAGATCTTGTAATGGGAAAAAGGGTTTTGAGTGTTTTGTATTTTGGGGTGAGATTGTGAATTCTCTTAAATTCACGCTTGTGTATGAGTTTGAAATCTGGTAAAATTCGAGTGGTAGCTGTGAGTGCACAGTGAGTGAAAGGAACCTGAGAAGTGTCTTGGGTCACCTAGGAAGTTTCCTGGGTAAAGGGAGAAAAAGGGTCCTGAGAAGTGTCTTAGGTCTGGTAGGAAGTGTCCTATCATAGAGTCAAGTGTCCGTGGCGGAACTTGCAAAGCAAAGGTCTGTGTAATAGGTTGTACTAGGAGAGTTGCCTATTATAGTGGAATTTGTTTATAAGTCCCAATAGGGCCGAGGTTTTACTTCCAGTTAGGCACTGGATGGTTTCCTCGTAAAACTTGCTTTGTGCTTTAAGTTCCTTTACGTTTTGTTTTTAATTTCCGCATAAGTTTCGCGATTGGAACCTACTACCATTCACCCCCCCTCTTGTAGTAGTTCATCTAAAATAACACATTATAAAATGGCACTATAGCAGATCTTTGCTATGCTAACCTTGGAATTTGACAAAATCTTGCTTAAGTATACTTTTTTTAGCGCGTTCTTGTTATATGGAGTACTTAATTAGTGGATAATCGATACGAGGGGTTGGTGGTGGGGGGTTGGAATTGACAATTAAGCAGCTTGTCAATGAATTATCTGCACAATCTGAAGCTTTGAGAAGGATCTGAAGTGCATTATATGTATACTTAACGTGTACGGAATATTGATAGAGATGCTAAAACATTACTTCTAATATAGTTACTGTATTGCCTGCATATACAGGCAGGAAAACTTTGTAACAGTACATCCCTTTCTTGGTGGCCCATTTATGTTTTTTCTTTAGTCTTCTTTTTAGTCTAGTAATCAGCTCAAATCATTACTATCTATTATTTTTTTTTTCAAGAATAAATATTACATTAATTTTCAAAAATCTGTTGTATCTTAAAAAGTCTGTTGGACATCCTAAGAATATTTCAGGAATAGTAGTAGGGTTAGTAATGTTGCCGAAAAAAAAAGTGAGAAAATTATTTCAGTTTTTTTTTTATTTTTATTTTTATTTTTTATTTTTTTTTTTGAAGAAATTTCAGGAATAGTAGTAGGGTTAGAAATGTTTCAGTAGGGTTGCATTAGAAACATTGAAATTATGTTATATTATCAATAACTCCGTATTATTTATTCCTAAGAAATACTCGCTTAATGGCAAATGAAAATGAGATCTTAATTTTGAATGTTCTTATCGTCTTGTATTGGCGGTAAGGCCGCTTTTATCCAAATAAATAGAAAGATACAAGATAAGATAAAAAGGTAAAATATACGTGGTCTTATTTCTATCATGATAAGATATATGTAGTTTTAGTCTCTTACACCTATTTCTAACACGATAAGATATAAAGTCTTAGTCTCTTACACCTAAGTGATTTTAGAATGAGACTAATACATACTTTGTATATACAGCTGATTCGATCTAGTATATTGAAAACATAGGAAATTATGGTTTTCCTTGGCTTCTAGAATTGAACCTCAGTTCATAAAATTAGCATTATACCAGTCTCCTGACCTATGCACCAAAATGTATACAAGTATATAACATAAAAACAAAAACCCTCAGCTTTGGACCATATTATGATTTTGAAATTTAAGAATTGACAATAAAATTTTGTAGACCATACATTTAGTATGCATAAAAATTAGGTGTTTATCCTTTACTGTAATGTTAATGTCTCATTAATTAAAAATGCTAGCTTAAGTGAGTCACTGGACCCAAACCGTTGAAATATCCAAGTCTTCCTTTCTCTGTTTTTCTGTCTCACTCAATCCTCACAAGAAGCGATGTGTACTTGTCTACGGCCCGCCATTATCTACCCCAGCCCAATTTCTTCTCTCCCTTTTTTTTTTGGTATTCAACAGTAATTCTCAGGTATGAAGAAATTTGGAAGTGGTAAGGAGAGGAGCTCTGAAAAGGCGATAAGACCTGAGGCTCTGTCTCGGCCCTCTGTTTCCGACACCGCCATAGTTTGTTCCAAGAGTCGTCAGAAATCAGGGAATCCTGTTAAGTATGCTGCCAAAGCCGTTGCCGGAGTTATTATTGATTGTTTTACGCCTCCAGAGGATGAACATCCCTCTAACTATCGAAAACAGCGTAGTTTCCAGCAATTAAAGTCATCTTCGGGTAATTCTGATTCTTTTCTTTTTTTTGCTACTCACTAGTTTCCTTACAGTAAGAGGGTCTTGGTTAATTTAGCGAATTTGGAATCAATCTTTTGATTAATGAGTCAAGTTTTGAATTTTTTTACACTAATGGAGAAGACAGGAAAAATTACAGTGAGATTGAAGATCAGTAGTTGATTCAATGTATCTCTTGATTGTTTATAGTTGTAGATTATGTAGAAATTAAAATGCAATTTTCCTGTTCTGAACTCTAAGCACTTCATATGCTGGTATGGTAGAACTCATTCTCATTATATAAAAATGCTTGCTTTAGTATTTGACAGTGTTTGTGTCAGATTCTGATCTGTGAAGTTGCTTGATTTTCAGTTTCATCTGGTACGAGTGACAGCGAGAAGAAACATGGTTCAGTTCGATCATTCAGTCTAAGTACGGAGAGTGACCTTGGAAATGGCAATTTTACCTTATCACAAATATACAAGGCAACAAGGAACTTCTCTCCTTCCCTTAGGCTTGGTCAAGGAGGTTTTGGGACAGTCTATAGAGGAACACTTGATGATGGCACCCTTGTTGCTGTTAAACGTGCCAAAAGGGTATGCAGGAAGATCAGAATATCATTTCATTCAATGTATATCGTTGTAACTCATCTTCTTAGAGTCTTTGCATTTTTTTCCTTGACATGTTTCTGTTTATCCAGAACGATCATGGTAAACATTTAGGAACAGAATTCCAAACTGAGATCCAAACACTAGCTCAGGTGGACCATTTGAACTTGGTGAGGTGTTATGGTTATCTGGAGGAGAAAGATGAGAGAATCCTTGTTGTTGAGTATGTTCCTAACGGAACTCTCAGAGAACAATTGGACTGTAAGTCCTCTTTTTCCACTTGAGCACTTTTCGTTGAGCATAGGAAAATTCAGAGCTCAATAGCGTATGTTGCAACATTGATGCAGGTATGCGCGGTGAGGTTTTAAGTATGGCTGCAAGACTTGACATTGCAATTGATGTTGCTCATGCTATTACTTATCTTCACATGTACACAGGTACTAATATCCCTATTGTTTTATATTCCTAAAAAGAGGAAAAAGGAAAGTATGATACGAGTAAGTATTTGTAGCTCTTGAGTGAATATCTGGTTTACCTAATGAGAACTTTAAATTTGGTTGCAGATAATCCTATCATTCATAGGGATATCAAATCTTCAAACATTCTTCTGACAGAACGTTGTAGAGCAAAGGTGGCCGACTTTGGCTTTGCCCGGCTAGCGGCCGACAGAGACTCCGGTTGCACACATGTGTCTACTCAAGTTAAAGGCACTGCTGGGTACTTAGACCCAGAATACCTTCAGACCTACCAACTCACTGAGAAGAGCGATGTATATTCCTTTGGTGTATTGTTGGTGGAACTGGTGACTGGAAGGCGTCCTATTGAAAATAAACGCATGACGAAAGAGCGGATTACATTTAAATGGGTATGCCTTAATCTCTTCTGCTTGTTCTAGTATGGATTTCATGACTTTAAGACTTCATTTAATAAGGAAAAATAAGTTCATTTACGTGCTTTGAAGATTGGATGAGCAAAACCGCAAAAGTGCCGTGCAATTGTTCAGTTTTGAAGCCCTATCTATTAGTCCCTTACCTAAGAAACTTTCAATTATGCTTGTAGGGTTTTCGTGGAGTTAAAACTCGGCCGTTCCGTTATATAACGGCTGTTATGTAACGGATTTTGGATTTGCCGTTCCGCAAAACCCCGTTATATAACGCTGCGACAAAAATCACATCTTTCACCTCGCGTCATCCGTTCTGTAACGGTGACTCGCCGCGTTAGAACGTTTTTTAACCCGTTACATCCGTTAAATATATAAGAAATTGATTATGTTGTCTATAAAACATGATATTTAGTAATTTTTATTCACCAAATATGTTACCTGCTTTTATTTTGATAAATACGGTTATTTTACGTTCAAAGAATGAAAGAATACATTTTTAACTTAAAGACTATAAACACCACTTAATCCATTAATGTGAATTTATTCGAAAAATTCACACCGCGCTTGCCGTGATCCGTTATATTTGTTCGTTACAAACCGTTCCCGTGACAACGCGACCGTTACCGCGACCGCATCCGCAATTTTTTCTATGAGGGTTATATCACATTGGGTTTCCCTTGCTTTAGTTTTAAATGTGCAAAGATATGCAATTTTTATAAAATTTGACTGTAAATTTACTCTGTTGATGGGTAATGTGCGAGTGTAGGCCATAATGAAGTTCACAGAAGGAGATGCAAGATCAACGCTTGATCCAAAACTAGAAGCAACCACATCAAATATTACTGCAGTAGAAAAGATTCTTGAACTGGCCTTAATATGCCTAGCTCCACAACGAAAGAACCGGCCAATTATGCTGAGATGCGCAGAGATACTCTGGAGCATACGCAAGGACTTCAGAGAGCTATCAGCTTCAGACACCTGCTCTCTCTCTCCCAGCATGCGCAGAAGTGACTCGGTAGGAGAAGTCATGCTTGCTACATTAGTGCCTTGATCATAGAGCTGCAGATTTGAAGTTCCACAATCTCATATGACAAGCTACTTTATTCTTAGAATTTGAAGTACATATTTTTACCCCTGCTGATATTTTTGGTTGTTTATGAAAGATTATGCACATTAGTGTGTAAAACAGTAAAGATGAATTTCATAAACGAGCTGTATTGATTATTATACCATGTAAGTGTTAGTTACATAAGTTTCAAAGGATAAAATCATTTTTTTTCCGACCTAGAAATTGTACATGAGCAACTAGAGAAAGACAACTACCGTTACAAAGATAAAAATCTTTGATTTTTCCTTCAATAAATATAGAGTTTCTATCCTTCAGTGTGATCAATATACTACATCAATGATATTGTATTTAATCCCACATTATGTATAAGTGTACTCCATTATATAGTCTATTAACATCGATACTGAAGATCTATCTAAGAAACAGGTACGATAATGTAGAAACCTTTTCTCAGTAGCGACCTCTATTCCTCTTTATATGCCACATATCTACTATCTACATGAAAAGATGGAGCATATTACCCAATCTGTTCAGCTCACTGATGGTCTTTCTTGTAATACCATAATTAACAGCTCTACTCTAATCAGTTCCACGGGAACCGGACTCCTGTCGAGTCAATTGGTAGTTTTCAACTTGTGGTCTCCGGTTTTCAGTATTGGTCGCTCTAGGTGTAACTTTTGAGCAAAGAAAGAGAAAAGAAGATGTATATATGCTCACATGCCATAAACTGCAAAAAAAAAAAAAAAAAAAGGAAAAAAAGGAAAAAAAAAAAAAAGAAAAAAAAAAAAAGATCAGTTGCCTTCAAAAAGGGTTGATTTTCACATTAGCCTTCTTAAGGACTCATATGGAGATTGATAGCATCATAAATTACCTATGCCAAATCCAATAATTCTGATAGTTTTCAAGGCTCCAACTTACAGCAGCCATTGTCAGTGCAACAAAACCAGCCAGTAAAAAACCCCAATGAAAACGCTTCAAGAGCATCTTGACAAAATTCTGAAGTGATGTTTTTATGCCGTGCCAACTGAAGAAAAAGGCATTAGATTGTACTTGTCAAATACTATATTGCATGACAGCAAAAATGCTGTTCAACAATTGCATGTATATCCCAGTCCAACAATTGATCAATTTGCAACAATGGTTGAATAGTTCTCACCTGTAAAATTCACTCAAACAAAATCCTGCAGGAAATGAAATTGATCTGAGTTTAGTGGATAGCTCAATGAGCCAACCAATAAACAAACAAGTGGCCCCAATGGCAATTACCAGAACCAAGTTCGAAGACCTGCAGGGATCAGCAATTCAGCACAGTTCGTGGGGGAAAAAACTTAACAAAAGTTCAAGTTTTGCATCAAACTGTACATTTACCTGGTCGCCCCAGTTATGGCCATTAAAGCTGTAAGGATTGAGACAACAGCGTGGATAGTCCTTCTCGAAGCTTCAGTGATATCAGCCAAATACACAAATGTGTTCACCACCGCCATAAAAGACAGCCAAAAATCCATGAACTGCGTATAGCATGAGGAAATAGTAGTTTAAACAGTTGGGAGTAAAAAAAACATGCATCTAATATGTGCATAACTGCAGGATCACACACCACTAACGCTAATGCAATAACCAACTAGACCAGAGAGCAAAAGATTGGTACATAATGACAAATTATACATAGGGCAAGTCTTAGAATGCGACCGTATAGTGAATAATTTATTGAGACTTTAAAAGCCTCACCTTGAAAAAGCAAGAAATCACCTTGATAATAAAAAGATTGACCACAATAGGACAACAAAACCAAAGACTTGTTCCGAAAGGATGGGATCGGTTGCATGGAGATCATTTCTACCAGCACTGACAAGACCGTTTAATCAAAACCAAGAATTTATCTCATGTGATCATCCACAAAGATCGTATGAGTGCCCCAATATCACAAGTTAATAAATTATTGCGAAGCCGTCCCAGATGTGCTTCATGTCAACATGAGAAATTGATATAAACTTCACTAAATAGAGAATAAACAATACCTGTAACACACGAAATGTCAGTGCACACCAGGTACCCACATCACAAGCATGATAAAGTCCACTTGAAATTCCACTCGATGTATAAATAACCCATTCTGCATAAGCCTGCACCAAAAAATTTCCAGTGGATAAGGACCAGAGAGTCCCAGAGACCCAGACGACATCTAGCAAGACACTTGTACACAATGAAAATATGATGTAGAGTACAATGGAAAGGTCTGCAACCATCTTTTGAAAAGGAGCAGCTTATGTATCTTTAAAGGTTTGCAGGTTCAAATAAATAAATGTTTATCAAACTCGTATTTTTACCTTATTACGAAGAGCCCAATATGCAGGAAGAACAGCAGCAACATTAGATGCAACAAGTGAAATTGACTGCCACATGTGCCCTGCATCACTTTTAGTTGCATACATTAAAATTTTCCTTTGATGAGAAGTGGTCCCGTGAGAGCTTAAATTTTTTAGGAGGAAGAGTATAAAGTGTAATTGTGAGTTACTTTCATCACAGAAGAATAATAAGCAAGAATAAAGCTTTTCCGACACGATGTAAAACTCAAATCAGGCATCCAGTCGCTAGTTAGCAAATTAGATCGATTATGTCAAAAGGAACTAGATGCTGTCTCAACAAAATTACCCTATGTTCTATGCATGCTATATGTGGCTGATATGAAGGCCAATGCATATAGATCGAGACTAGATTCCATTCTACTTTAACATCATGATTCACGAGCATGAAGAAACCTTCAGCTTACATGTTTCGTGGGACACAAGCAAACAAAATGTATATGTCAAAGTAGTTGCACCAAAATACTTAGCAGGCAAAATCACAGCGGGTAAAGCATGTTATAATCAATAAACATACCTCGACGAGAAATAATTTCTGTACTGCAATCAATGCCCCCATGGGTCCGGTCACAAGCACAGTAGCTGAGGAATGACATTATACAATAAATAGAGTGAATGATGGATAACATCATAATGAGAGCCTAAATTAACTTTCATATATATAAGTAGAGATATTGATTGGCTGAGCCAACAGAAATGGCAACTAAAACACTACACCTGTATACCGTCAAGCCACTTTCATCCACAAAATTTTGACAGGCTCCATGAGGGGTAGAGCATTTCTTGGGACATCTTTCAAGAGAAACAGAAATCATCGTCTTCTCTAAGGATGGACTATTAATGGAATTTAGACGCTTTAAGCCAAAAGTCCAGGTTCCTTCCCTAGCATATAAGACATAGAAATCGACCAACTGTTTGCTAGAATTATATAGAAGGAAAAACATAGAACCATCGCTGCTGTTAAGTTGGTTTATGTAGTAAAAATCCCATATATCAGCAGACGGAAGCCCCCCATATCTCACATATATTTCATAACCAGCTTTCTCTTCTGATGTTAGTCTGAAGTGCAAATTTAATCCAGCTGCACCAAGAGGAATGTCAAGAACAAAGTATGTCCAAGTGATATTTCCCAGTGTCGAATTGCTGAGAAGGGGTGCAAGAGGAAAGTTGGCTGAATTTGAAGACGCGATCCCATTCAGTGGTACATAATAAGATTCAAAGGGAACGGATGGATTCTTCCTCAGAACTGTCTGCAGCAAACCCAAATTTGATGCATCAATAAGTTATTCTTTCATGTGAGCTTGCTTACATAAGTCAGCAGGAGAAGTTACCAAGAAAAAGCTCAGAGCCACAGTATGAAACATGTATGAGACAGTAGCTAAATAAAGAGAATATGCAGCTATAATGACTATATACACATCATCTGTATAATTTCCAAAAAAAAAAAAAAAAAAGGTGTCCTTTGAAGCAAAGCACTGCTATTGAAATTAAAATAGCATACCTCATTATAAGAGGACATGGAATTACAGTAATATAAATTCCATCTGTGTAATTAAAACACTAGCCATGAAGTGGAAATAGCAAGAATACAACCAGTTAAGAGTCATATGACTGTCTACAACAGTTGTGAGGGAAACTTTTCCCATCTCAGCCTGTTGTCTCCTAACTTGGACTACTGTTGACACAAATAGCTTTTGCACACTAGCACATTTGTTCACCTCACTCTCACAAGGAAAGCATATACTACTAAAGGATAGAATATTCACATACCAACAATAGAGCATACTGCACAGAAACGATCAAACATAATCTAACCTGAAGCGTGTAAATATCTGAAGTACAGTTGAATCCAGCTTTTCCCAAAGGACATTCAGACACCTCCCATGATATGGAATAGCAAAGTCTCGTGCCACTCTCTTGAACCGCATCTAATCCATTAGTCAGATTAACAAGGGCAATAGTGATGAACCAGCGACCTAACTTTGGTGATGGGACAATTAAAGAGCCTTTACTAATGTCACCAGAGAAATCATGCATGGTTGCAAGAGCAATTGTGCCATAGCGAGCATAACACATTATAACAACTTTCCCAGCTTTATCTGCATTGTTGAATGATGATGTTCTATTTAATCTGACGTCTGTGGCTGAAATTGTAAGGGACTCTACCATTCCAATTATTTCCAAGGAGTAGACTCTGGTTTCATTATCCCCAAGGCAAGAATTCCCAACAGGATCTCTACAGGAAACCACATCTTTTGTAGTCCCATCATTTAAGTCAGCAGCAGATACATTTGGCATAGCATAATCAGGATATGCTTGAGAACATGAAAGTGCTTTGATACTCTGGTTGCAGAACTGGCCCCACAAGTTTGATGCTATACATCCTTCCACACTTACATTGGCAGAAAAGGAATATGAACTTCCTCTACTAATCTGCACAGCACACCCAAACCAGAGAATTACCTATAGATTTCCAGGAGTTTTTGTTTCTTATGTTATTAATTGCAAAGAGCATAATATCACTTAAGAAGACAGAAACAGAAAAATATGACACTGTCATTGGGACCAAATATTCGAGCAATTGTTGCATAATTTGATATTTTGAAATACATAGGTCTCCATAGTCCATCCTACAGGCGAACCATGGATCGTATTTAGTTTATGAATATTATCCACATTTCTATCCATCTCTAGAACCCAGTCTTCATTGCCATTAAACATAATCTTAATTTCACTATTTCAGCAGTGATTCTAGTCTTTATTAGTTAATATTAAGGAGTTAAGGAGAACCATGCTAGCTAAGTTTCTGTTATGTGCTCATATCCTACTCCCAAAGGAAAGTCCTTTTTCAGTTGGCAGGATTGCAATCTGCCACCGAAATCAAGCATGCTTCGCCATGCCAAAATCAGCAGAAATAAAGAGGATCCAGAATTATCCCCCCCCC